TGGGGAGGCCACAGCCGTACCTGGGGGTCGGTGCCGTCGGGGGCCTCAGACCCGGGGAGCAGCCAGGGCCGGGGGGAGCCCCGGGGGGTGAAGCCATCGGTGAGAGCATCCCAGACCCTGCAGGGAGGTGGGTGGTGGGTGGTGAGTGGCAATCCCAAAATAGTTTTACTCCCGGGAATCCATCCCAAACCAGCATGCCAAAATACCTCAAAACACCCCAAAATGCAGCCCCAGAACACTCTGAAATGCCCCCCAAAAATTCCAGAACACAGAGATGCCTGAAACATTTCAAAACACCCGAAATGCTGCCGCAGAAGACCCCAAAGCTTCTCAAAATATCATCATGAAATACCGCCCTGAAATACCCCCAAGTACCCCAGAATGCTGCCCCAGCACTTGAGCTGCCCCCATACATAATTCTGAAACATTGACATCAAAATGCCCCCAAAAAGGCCACTGCAGTGTCCCAACTTGACTCTAGATGTCCCAAAAGACCACCCTGAAATGCCCCAAAACATGCTGAAATGCTCCCAAGGCCCCAGAAACACCCCAAAATTCCATTCTAAAACAAGCTGAAAGCCCCAAGACCCCCTGAAAGGCTCAAAACCACCTCAAAATGCTGCCCTGAAACACCCCAAAATGTTCTTCTGAAACACCATAAAATACCCCTAAGGGCCCCAAAGCTCCAAAATGCCCTTAAATACCACCCTGAAACACCCAAAAATGCCCCCAAAAGCCACAGTGCCCCATAATGCCACCCTGAAATGCTCCAAACCACCACTCCCAAATAAACCCTGAAATGCCTCAAAACTGCCCAAAATGCCTAAAACACTGCTCCCAAGCCCCCTGAAACATCTCAACATGCCGTTTCCAAACCCCACCCCTAAAAGCTCTCAAATGCTCCAAAATATTGCTCTGACATCCCAAAATGCCATGTGGAAAGACCCCAAAATGCTGTTCCTGAAACATTGCCCCAACACCCCAAAACGCTGCTGCGATGCTCCAAATGCCTCAAAACTCCACAAAATGCTGCCCTGGGACATGCTGAAATGTTCCAAAATGCAGTCAGAGCACTCCAAGACACCACCCTGAAACACCCCAGAATTGCCCTAAAACACCCCAAAATATGGCCATGGAACACCCAAAAAAGCTGCTCTGAAATACCCACCCAAAAGACTCCAAAAACCAGCTGTAATGTCTTGAACCCCCACCCAAACACCCCAAAACCTCTCAAAACACCCCAAAATGCTGCTCCAACAGCCTGCCCTGAAACATCTGGAAACAATAACCCCGATACCCCAAAATCCACCAAACTATCCCCAAACTGCCCTGAACCCTCCCAACCCCCATCCTCTAAGCCACTCTTTGGAGGTTACAATTCTTCCCTGCAGGGCTGGACCAGTTTTTGCCCAATTTCACCCCGGAATAGATGCATGGTGGGGGGGGACGGACACGGACGGGATGGGGGTGGGGGCAACAGGAATTAAAAAAGGGGGAAAAAGGGTAAAAAAGGGTGAGGGGAAGGGGAGAAAGGGGGGAACAAGGGGACACAAAGGGGGGGGGGGAAGGGGGGGAAAAGGGGAAAAAAAGGTAGGGAAAAGGGGAAAAAAGGGGGGAAAATGGGAGGGCGGGGAGAAAAGGAGAAATGAGGAAAAGTAGTGGAAGGGAAAATGGGATAAAAGAGGGAAAATGGAAGAAAGAAGGGGAAAAGAAGGAAAAGGGAGAAGGAGGAAAGAAGGGAAAAGGAGAAGAAAAGAGATGGGAAAATGGTGAAGGAGGAAAAGGGGTAAAAGAAGAAAAAGCAAAAATAGGGAAAAAATAAAAAAAGGAAAAAAGGGGAAATGGTATAAAATGTCCAAAAAAATGGAGAATGAGTGGAAAAATGGAGACAAAGGGAGGAAAGGAGGAGAAAGAGAAAAATAGGGAAAATGGGAGAAAAGAGATGCAAAGTGGTGGCGTCGGGAAAAAGGTCAAAAAAGGACAAAAATGTCAAAAATAGGGAAAAAAGCACAAAATGAGATCACAAAACTTCTCCCTAACTGAGGCAAACCCACCCATTTTCCCACCACAAATGGCATTTTTAGTGCAGCGGGGTACCACATCCACGCTCCTCCCGATGCCCTCTAAATCACAGCAAAACCACCCGCTTCCCACCAGCTCCCAAAAAGCTCGTTTTTTGGTATTTATCCCATCTCCCTCTTCCACGTGATCAGGTATTCCATAAATCAATGCACAAGCATATAAAAAAAACCCCTATATTCCTATTTTTAACAAAAATGCAGCAAATAAGGAAAAAATATGTGATTATCCCCCAAAATTTGCCTATTTTTTCTCCCCCACCCTTCTCTTAAAGGGCCAGCACCCTGCAGGGTCAGGCAAGCAGCAGGAGCAGATTTCTGGGTTAATTATGGCCAGAATTGATTAATAAATAGGGAGATAGAGCGCCTTTAAGGCTCCAGCCCATCCTCCCCCCCACGCACACAGGGCTCATTCAAGAGGGACTTAAAAAAAAAGCCCTGTTTTGCCCAAACTGACCCAAAAAGACACAATAAGCAGCACAAAGCGGCACCGTGAGGCGACAGCGCGGCACTCCTGGCGCCAGGCCAAAACGCATCTTTCTCTGAAAAGCCATCAGTTTGGCCAGTTACAAAAAGCCATTTGGCCTCCATGGAGTTGGGTGGAAAAAGAAAAAAAAAAAATGGATCTGGGGACTTTTGGGTTGAAAACAACCACTTTGTGTGGTGAAAAATGAGTATTGGGAAGCCTGGGGAATAACCCAAATTAAACACAGGAAAAATCCATTAGGAAGGTGTTAATGTGTAAACACTGCTGAAAAAACCCTACAGATTTGGAAAAAAAAAAAAGGCATTTTGCAACAAAAATAAACGTTTTTAATGAAAATGTAGATTTTAACGCAAATGCCACTAAACTGTGGCAGGGCTGGGCGGATTCTGCCCCAGACTGGCTCCCCCTCCCTTGGTGCAGAACTTGCAAGTTGCAAGCAGGACGCTAAGCTGTACTCACACCTTACTCAAGGTTTACACTTACCCACCCTGAGGGCTTTCCTCACACAGACTGAGCCTGCTGCAGCCCCCTGCAATGCGACATGGGTCACCCCCGCCTTCACATAGGGTGCTACACAGCTACTTGAAGTATCCCACACAGCTACTCCAAGGTGTTGCATGATCACGTCACAGCCCAGGGTGCTGATTTGTGAGTGGTAAATATCTTGCAAGCAGGCAAGGAGTTGCAGCAGGCCCCAGAGGGGTGTTACTCATAGGATACTACACTCTTAAGGACCCTACACAGCTACACCATGCCGCTGCATGACTATGCTGCGACACAGGGGGCTAGATGTATGTAGGTTGTACCTTGCAAGCATCAAGGCCGCATGCAGACCCCGCGTGAGTCCTTACTCACAGGATGCTACAGCACTACTCCTGAAATGGTGCATGACCATTCTGCAATGCAGGGAGCTCGTCAGGGAAGTCTCGCAAGGGTACAAGGAGGCACGCAGGCTGTAAGACGTTTTACTCACAGGTTACTACACCACCACTTTGATGTGTTGCATGACCATACTGCAATGCAGGGAGCCAGTTTGCATTGGGGGGTGAGTTTTGCAGGTGTGCGAGGAGGCATGCGTCCCCAGAAGTAGGAGGGCCTTACTCACTCCTCATCCTGGAGGCGCTCTTCCTCCTCCTGCGCTTGGAGACGCCCTCGCACGGGGGCCAGACCCTCAGTGGCAGCATCGTAGTTGCGGAAGCAGACGGTGAGCTTCTCATCGAACTCCTGCACCAGGTCCTCCATCGACTTGAAGCTCATCATCTCAGCTGAGAAGCTCTCCAGCTCGGCCAGTGCTGGGTCTGCAGTGCGCTGTGGGATCCCCTCATCGTCCCCGGGCCCCTCCTCGAACTCCTCCTCCAGGCTTACAAGGGGCGCCTCCATCCTCCTCAACAGCAGTGCACCGTTTTAGCTGCGAGGAGAGGGTACCCGTGAGGCACTGGGCTACTCACAGGTTAAAACACCAGGACTCCCCGTTCCCTTTGCTGATGCCATGCTGGCTGAAACCGTACTACCAGGGCTGTTACACCAACAACAGCACCTCTGCAGTATGCTAGTAGTATCCCAACAGCATCTTAGTACTGTCTTCATAGAAATATGCAGATATCCTGACACTATACAAGTAGTACTTTACTAGTAGTAACAAAGTGTTGATAGTGGTCCAAAAGTATATTAGTGCTACCCTGATAGTACAGGAAAAGTACCTTTTTTTACTGAACTGGTAGTATCTTCGTACTCTCCTCATACTGTATCACTGTCTTAGTAGTGGCCTGAAAGTATCCTGTTAGTATGAACAATGGGTTGACAGTATCCCAAAAGTTTGAGTGCTGCCCTGACAGTATCCCAGAAATATCTTACCACTATCTTCTCTTGTGCCTTTCTAGTACTGCAGAAGTATCCTACTGAGAGCCTAGTAGCATCCTGACAGCACCCTACTGAAAAATGAGTACTGTCCTGAGAGCACCTTAGCAGTGTTGTGACAATATCCCAATTGTATCCTAGCAGTAACCTGATACAACCTGAGTAGTATCCTAGTAATGGCAGTGCAGTATATCAGTAGTGCCTCAACAGTATTGTGAAAGTATCTCAGCAGTACTTTTAGAGTATCCAGGCAGCATCCTGACAGTACCTTTGTGCTACACTGAGAGTATCCTAGCAGCAGCTACTGAATAGCTCAGCACTGCCCTGATGGTGTAATAGCACAGGCAGTAGTACCATGATACTACGTCAGAAGCATCCCAGTTACATCCTAACAGTGCCCTGATAGTATCACAGCAGTGTTCGGATAGGATCCTAGTGGTATGCAGCTATTATCTTAGTAGTGTCCGGAGAGTATCTCGGTAGTGCAATATAACATCCAGGTATTACCTTAATGCCATACTACTATGCGGAAAACATCTTAACTGTATCTGTTGTAGTATCCTGAGAGTACCTGGTGGTGTGTTAGCCGCGCTCTAGTGGTACCTTCATAACAGCAGCTCACTATCAACCCTGGAAAGATGCTCAGGAGTGTCCTGATAACTTCCTGATAGTATCTCAGCAGGATTATCACAGCATCCCAGTAGCATTCACATAGTATCCTGAGAGTATCTTAGTGCCACCTTGAGAGCGCCTGAGTATTATCTGCTGAGTATCCTGACAGCATCTTAGTAAACTCCTGATGGCATCTTACTAGCACCTCTGTAGTATCCTGCGAGTCTCTCATCTGTGTCTTCACAGTACCGCACTAGTCCCTCTCCAGGTAGCTGAGCGTACCCCAGTAGTACCCCCGCAGCCGCCTCAGAGGGATCAAACACTAACCCGGTAGTAAGCCATCAGCAGCCCAGGGAAGGTGCCACTAGCCCAGCCCACTCACCCAGCGCTTCCCGTGGGGAGGGGGAGGGGAGCAGCGTTTGGAGGAGAACCTGGCCAGACCCCCTGCACCCCCCACGCGCGCGTGCCCGCGA